CAGACGTTAATGAGAGGAAAATCTTCCATTCTCACCTTGCCATCCAACAGATCCTGGATGGTGTTATCAAGGTCGTTGCCCATCTGGAACACATTACTAATCGACACCTGACTGTAATATACCAGGCACGGGTCAATGAACCTCACAACATCTCTCTCCGAAAGATTCAACCACAACAAGAATCTCCATCGGAACAAGAATAAAAGGCCAAAGATCCAGACCAACATCATCGAAAATAACGACGACAACAGCAACAATATCAATAACATCCACTCAAAAGTGTAACTCTTAAACGGTGTTTCTATTACCACAACAGAAGGATTCTCTTGTTCAGCTTGCATTGAAGAAGGTCTAGAATCTTCTTTAATGCCGGTTAAACCAGATAGTTTTTCAACATTCCACTCCTCCTCTTGTTCAAAATCTGACCATGCGTTATTATAAATCTGTTCTTGAGGAGAGATCGATCTTGTAGCAATGTTAGATTTATTGGTAATTTTAGCGACAAGTTTTTTGAGAAAAGGCATTTTAAAGAATATTTTTTGTAAATTGTAAAAATTCAAAGTGAATTAAACTGTCTTGATAAAATTTTTCACGTTTAAATAAACTTTCAAAGACTTTATTATCAAATAATTGGTTCCTTACAAGAGAATTTTTAAAAGTTTTTCTGAAAAATACAAGTTTTTAAGATCAACTCAGAACGAAACTTCTAAATTTACACCCACAAAATCAATAACATCTATTCAAAAATAAAAAAAAATAAATTTATTAAATAAAAATACATAAAAGATTTTTACATTCTGGTTGATCAAGAATGAACAGAAAATATATATTCTTGATCAACCAGAACATAAAAATCTATTAGAAAATAAACAGATCAACCATTTATTATTCTTACAATTCTCTCATTTTGATCTTAGAAGACAGCAACTCATCCACCATTCTATCAACCTTCTCATTATCCCTTAAATTGTTTTGCAGCCAAATTTGCCTGCAAACTTTTTTAAATTTTAAAATTTTTTAATAAAATTTT